CCCCCCCCCCTCTATAAAACGCACAAACCGGGTAGAAAATGAAAAATTACTCCTCAATATATATGGAAATATAGTTTGATGGCCCCGCTATTGTACTTTTTATTTCCTCCCGAACCCTCTGGAAAAGAGCAACACTATCAACAATACTCAATAACGTTCATATATAAACTATAATATGGAAACACTTCTGTACAGTTGGGTAAAATTCTGTCAAGAACTTAACAATTTAAGAATTTACGGAAATTTCTGTTATCGATCAAAAATTCTCGCCTAATATTTCTTGGTATTTTCGGGAAATTTAGGAAAGAATTATTAAGTTATAATTTTAAATGATGAAGTCTGATCCGTTACGTTTATTCAACATTATTCGTTAATTTGATATTGTAATGCAATATTCATAAAGCAGATATATTCACTCTTGAATTTAATAAAAAAAATCAAATTTTCTCGAAAATTGAAAATCTTTTCGATCTTTTTTTAAATATCATGTTTTCCCCGATATTTCATATTTGACTGAAAAAAAGAATAAAACTTTTTCGACAAGGGGAGATGAGGGGGGCCGGGGGGGGGGCGGGGTTGGATTCTTTTTAACATCTTACAAACCTAAATGTTCTTTTCTACAATTTTCAGTTTACTGTTGTAAATGGTTAGTTTTGTGTGCTACGCACAAATACATGTAAAACTTTGCCGATAGTTTTAATGTTTTCTTGGAAAGAATTGTTAAGTGTGGAACGCTTTCAGAATAATATAATTTATTTTCAAAAAAAACTTAGAAAGATCGCATTGTTTATTGTCCACTAATAGCTGCCCGCCTCACACTTTCTAAGATAACGTAGCATAAAAATTGGTATTTCAACAAACAGCATCTTCTGAAATGTTATTAAATGTTTCCCTCCATTTCTCAGTTAAAGTGTTTAAATAATCATTAATGACATTCATTATAAAGTAAGTTTTTGAGGAAGATGTATTTCAGGACAAATACTCTGGTATACTCTTGAATATTCTTGTATACTCTTGAATACTCTGGGATACTCTGATACAATCTTGTATACTCTGGTATACTCTGGTATACTCTTTTATAATCTCGTATACTCTGTTATACTCTGCAGGTATACTCTGGGATACTCTGGTATGCTCTTGTATATTCTGGTATACTCTGGTATACTCTTGAATACTCTTGTATACTCTTGAATACTCTGGGATACTCTGATACAATCTTGTATACTCTGGTATACTCTGGTATACTCTTGTATAATCTCGTATACTCTGTTATACTCTGCAGGTATACTCTGGGATACTCTGGTATGCTCTTGTATATTCTGGTATACTCTGGTATACTCTTGAATACTCTGGTACACTCTGGTATTCTCTCAGATGGTTTACTTAGCAAGCACTTGTCTAGTTAATACACTATTATAAACACATCCGACATAGGATATAAAGTAATTCTAGTAATTCTAACTATCCGCTTATTTACATACTTAAAGGGATTGTTCCTATTTTAAGAGAATTTACTTGGATACCATGAAATAAAATCATCTAGAGAGGTATATGAAAATAAGGCTTTCTTGTATGCGTAGTTTTTAATCAAATGAAACTAAATTGGTGTTTTAAATTTTTTCTATGTAGAAAGCTTTGAGTAATGTTAAGTCAATTACTATGATATCTTGATTTGGCGCCAATTTTCTTAAAACTATAACATATTTCGCGGCTGTTTTTTTAAGCTAGAGTACATATTTAGCGTCTGTTTTTTAAGCAAGAAACAGATTTGTCGTAGGGTGCACAGGTTTCCTTAAAACTAGAAACAGATTTAGCACCTTTTTCCTTTTAAACTAGAAACAAATTTAGAGTCTGTTTCTTTGAACTAGAAACAGATTTAGCACCTGTTTCTCTATAAACTAAAAACAAATGTAGGGTCTGTTTATTTAAATAGAAATTGGTTCAGCATATTTGTTTCTAAAACAGAGCTGATTCAGCGCCTGTTTCCATGTAAATTATATAGATTTAGTACATTTCAAATTTATGTGTTAGACAAAATGTTAAATTATAAAAATTCAGACTAAAATTCTTAAGTTTGCTGTGAAATTAGTGATGTTTTATAAGTTTTTTCTTTTCTTTTTATTTCCTGTTTTATTTTATGTCCTCCATGTACATTAACAGACGGGTCACAATTGACACCAATGACGTCATCCATAATATCTTTACAATCGTATTGCCAATGTTCTTGTTAATCTGTTTGACAAGCATTTAGAAAGAATCGAAACTTCAAAACGTTCCTTCATCTTATCGAAACAATTTTTTGAATCCTATTCTTTTAGATGAATTGCGCGCAATTAAGCAGCTCTCGTTAATCTAGTTCTACAGTACTCGGTCGGAATATTTTGATCTCTGAACTGGTTCAAAATCCATCAAAAATAGTGATAGTAACATTATGTACTGACATATTCAAGATACAGAACCCAAGAAAAAGGTATAAAATAGCAGAAACGAAAAGTCAACATTTAATGGCTGAAAAAAGCTTATAGAATTCAGACTCTATGACCTTTTAACAGGACTTCTAGTTTACCGTGAACTAGTTTCGACAATTCCAAAATCCAAACAACCTTAAGCAGCTAACCCATTAGAGTTAAAACCAGTTTAACGCTAACTTCGTACAATTCCAAACAAGTTTTTGCGGCTGATCCGTTAGAGTTAGAACCAACCAACTACTGAATGTTCTTCAAATCAGAATTCAATTGAAGCGACTGTTTATTGAAATTATAACCAATTTGGCATTGGCGATTTGTTCTTTCCATCAGAACCCGTTTTTGTGAAGGTTTCTTTGAATCAGAACCAAGACTGGTTCTTGCTAATTGGCTCCTCAAATCTACATCTTTATTTTTAATATTCAGAAACTGTTATTATTTGATTAATGATAAGCTCATTAAGCAGCCATGGAGATACAATTAAAAACAATATTGATAAAACCTTACAATATTCTAGCTTGGAAATTTGAGGCAAATCGGTCAAGGGGTTCATGAGTTATAATCGGGTATATAAACAGACTAAAAAAATAAATTACTACTTTATATATATATATATCTATGTATGTGTGTATGTGTAAGAATCTGTGATTGGCGGTCTGGCAATAACGTCGGATGTCCGTTGTAGATCGTTAATTTCGCGCGTATTTAATGACACTAACAAAATAACAAATACCGATTTAACTCTTAAAAATTCCTTGTAGACTCTTTTGAATAACCAAATGGAAATTAGCAAAAACTACAAATCGTAAGACCTCACTTCAATATTGATTTAGTATAGTCACTTCAATTTTGGTGTATGGGTGTAGGACGTCCCTAAAAGAATGATTTGATTTTGATTTTGATATATATATATATAAAGTACGGTAATATTTCTAAGAATTTGAAAAAAATCATAAAACATTTCTATTACATGTTGATTGGTGTAGTTAGGTAATAAAAAAGAAAATCATTAAAAATTGATTCTCGCAATCACGATTTTTCTGTGAAACATAAAGTATCCAGAGGCTCGAAATAAATTGAAGGAATTTAGGTTTAATTCCGGGGTTTACGGGAAATCCACCAACAAATTATTAGGAAATGAACGAAAAAATTCAAATTAAACCATCAGATGAAGAGGAATCGACTGAATACGCTTTAAACACATATAAAATACAAAATAAATGTGTCCAGTTTATTTGGAACTGGAAAAGTTTCCCGAAAGTCCATGAATAAGATTATTAAACCATGACCTAACTTATTTGCTCCAAGTCATGCACACATTATTCCATAATTCCGAACTAATGGACACCAATAAAACTGTCAAAATATAAAAAAATATATATTTTTACTCACTTTGTGCAGAAGCATTGGATAACACAAGAAGTACTAAACTGTATCTCAACCTAAACTCCATCTTGAAGTCCAAGGTTTAGAACGTGAATCTGATAAACTAGAGAAACTGTCTTGTATAGAACTCTGGACAGAGTCCGATGAAACCTTTCCTACTCCGCACCTTGCGGAGAACTGGAATCCATTCTCCCTTCTTACTCCCTCTCTTCTCTCTCGAAGCTCCGTCCCGCGGGTTACCTCCGTTCTCCAGGAATCAGAATTGAAATCAACTCCCTGAGCTCTTGAACCAATCCTAGATTTATCTTCCTCATGATTTCTCACAAATTTTACATTTCAAAATTCATCAAGAAGCATTTTTACTTTCTTTCTGATTCCCTTCTGTCAGAGAATAGTATTGGAGAAATAAAGTATTTTGAAATGTTGGATTCTGTACGTATACGAAAGGATCTAGTAGAGTAATAAAAAATATGAATAGGATAGAAGAAGGAGGGAGAAGGAGAATGAGGGAGAGTAGAATAGGACGAGGAGGGAGAGTAGAATAGGACGAGGAGGGAGAGTAGAATAGGACGAGGATGGAGAGTAGAATAGGACGAGGAGGGAGAGTAGAATATGAGAAGGAGGAAGAGAAAAATAGGAGAAGAAAGGAGAGTAGAATAGTAGAAGGAAGCAGAGTAAAATAGGAGAAAGCGGGAGATTATAATGGAACAAAAGAATAAGAGAAGGCAGAATAGGCTTGGAAAAGACAGAAGAAGAAAGAAAAGGAGTAACAAATAAAGGAGAAAGAAAAGGAGTAACAAATAAAGGAGAAAGAAAAGGAGTAGCAAATAAAGGAGAAAGAAAAGGAGTAGCAAATAAAGGAGAAAGAAAAGGAGTAGCAAATAAAGGAGAAAGGAAAGGAGTAGCAAATAAAGGAGAAAGAAAGGAATGTGAGGAAAGAAAATAAAAGGCGTACTAGGAATGGAAAAGAAAAGAAGTAGGAGCTGGAGAAGGAAAGGAGTAGGAGAATAATATGGAGGTGAGTAAGAGTAAAAAAAAAAGATAAAAAGTAGGGGCAAAGGAAAAGGAAAGGAGTGGGAGTAAAGGAGAAGGAAAGTAATAGGAAAATAAAGGAGTAGAAGAACAGGAAAAGAAAATGAGTAAGAGTGAAAGAAACAGAAAGGAGTGGGGGTAAAAGAAAGGAAAAAGAATAAAGACGTAGTAAAGGAGAAAAAAAGGGATGGATAAAAGGAAAATGAAAGGAGAAAGAGTAAAGGCAATGACATGAAGTGGGAGAATTAAGGAAAATGAAAGGAGTAGGAGTCAAGAAGCTTGGTTTGATTTAAGAAAATATTACTTGAAGGATTAGCCTGGGAAGTGGTTGAACTAGAGGCTAGGATTCGGGTTTAAGATTTCTCTATTCTTTTGTAAATATCTTCAGGGTGGATATACACTCAACTCATTCTACACTAGGATACAGGGTTATCTACAATGTATGAGACTTTAAGGGCGACCTGAAACTATTCGATTTTAAAAATCTGAAGTGAGAATTTGGTGTTTATCCTTGATGACATTTTTATTGTGTTAAATTTGACAATATATAGAATCATGCATACAGCTGCAGCCTGCAGGAAACCATGAATGTGAGGTAAAAAGATTAATAAATTCTCTAAAGTCTTATCCGTTGTGGGTAACCATGTATATAGGAATAGATAAAAAAGTTTCACTTGGGATAAAATATGAACGAAATAAATCATTAAATTTCAGGGACTTATTCTTCATCAGTTTGAGTAAACTTTCATTATATAGTCCGATTAGCAACAATATCCTTTGTTACGCGAGCTACGCTGCGTTCATGAAGTCTATGTGATGCCCCTGTGATTCTCTGAGTTCCCCCTGACGGTCTGTACAGAACGTATTGTGAAGAACTAGTTTGAGAAGCTGTTTACCGTCCGACTACGCATGCGCAAGTTCTCTGCGTAGGAGCGAGCAGTTTCTACTTCAGTATA